GGCATGTCATGGGAAGTCTGCCAAGTGGCCACATTTGGAGAAGGAATTGAAGACATGGATAGTTGAGCAATGACAACTTGGTGCAGTTATTACAACCAAGATGATTTTGCAAGAAGCCAAAAGAATATCAAGAGAAAAAGAAGTTGAAAACTTTACTGGTTGAGCAAATTGGTGTTATCGCTTCATGAAGAGAGAAGCTGTCCATGAGGACTCGCACCAGACTTGCTCAAAGAATACCTGATGCACCAGACAGTGATGATGAGTGTATGAGCGATTATTATGAGTCTCGAATTTTGTTTGTTTGTAACTTCTTTCACTAATAAAATATTTTTTCAAAACTTCACAGTCAAAACATTGGTGGGTGGCTTATACAAAGGGGGTGCTTATACATGGGAAATACGGTATATAGCTTCCATAATCTTTCGCTTACTGATATAAAAAGCTAAGATAAAGCTACAGTACTTGGGTTAAAATTCCATTGGGGATGCTGAGACCTAGACGGGTTCGAAATTGCCGTCCAGATTGGATGAGGACACCATTTGGGAATAGAGGCTAAGTGGAATTCAATGGAAAAATCAGGTTTTGTTGGAAAATTCAACTATCAGTTTTTTTATCAACTTATTCGACCTAGATGAATATAGATCTTGTTAAATGCAAGGTACATCCTAATCAACTTTTTTTATCGCTTATTTACGCCTACCAGTGACATCAAGCGTGATATAATTTTCCAAATTTATTGGAGGTAAAATTATCATTTTTAACATGTATATTAAAAAGCGAAAAAGAATCAGGTAAGGAAAGATTTAAATAGCAGTAAATTTTACAACAAAAGAGATAAGATTAAAATCAGAGGCTAAATAGATATTCTAGTTAAAAATTGTTATAAACCTATCTTAACACTCCTGCATAAAAAAGAATTGTGAACCAAGAGATCCTTCCTATTCAAAGTATAGCCATAAAAATCTTTATATAAGATAAATAAAGTGTAATTCTTTCTGCTTTGGGAGCACCTCACAGTTAAATGGCAAAATCAAGTCTTGAGCTAAAGTGATTTTGACAGATCATGCATCTAACATAAAAAACTAACCGACCAACGACCAGTGAGAAAAAATATGGCTGCCCCCTACTTCCACCTTATATAAATTTGAACACAGAAGCAAGTGGAGTTTAGAAGAAACTGTTAATGAAACTCATGAAAATGATACTAAATAGCAAAAACAATTTTAAATTAGAGCAATCCCATTCGTGCGGGGACTTGTCTAAAAATTAAGTTGTGTGATCACCCTATATTATTAACGAAATATTTCGACTTGTCCAAATCTCATGATTTTTAACTGTAATTTATCAAAACGTCTTTAGAAGAAGTCTCCCTAGATGTATTCCATTAGTGTTCAATTCCAGCATCTCGTGATTCACTCCGACGGCGGAAGCAATGGATCATATTCAATGAGATGCTTAGTACAAAAGATCTCTAAACTATAACTTAGACTACAAGAACCAATTTAAATGTCTTATTGTAGGTCTATTGGGGGAAGTTATGGGCTTTTTCCTGTGACATATACGGTCAGAAAAAGAGAGCACATTTTAAGAATTTCATAAGAAAGACAAAGCAAAAAAGATGGCTGGTTCAGTGTCCTTCCTGTATTTGTGCAGATTTGTTTGAGTACTAAGGAGGTCGTGAGGAAATTCATTTCATAAATGGACAACAAGAGGCTTCTCTTTCGTGTGAATGTAATTTTAAAATATATCATATTGTGATAGCAAATATGAGATAGTGTGCTAATAGTATGCTTAAAAACGGATCCTCAATACTCCACGAAACGCTATTTGAGGCTACTTAATATAGTGTCCTATAGTGACCAATTCAGATCTGTCCACAAATAAGCCTTGGCAAGCCGTTTCATGTTAAAGCATAAAGGCACAGGAATCAACCCTAAGCTATATTACGTTAGAAGAATAGTGGAACGCTATTTCTATATATTGTAATAGTACTCCGTGTTCATATAATGAAAAGCTTGCTGAAATTTTTCACGCGTAACCCGTCGATCCATAGCTATCATTGAATGAGAAACATCAACTATTAACTGTCATTGTAGGTAAATTTATTAGCGTTTCTGGGTCATCTGGGTCACTCATAGTAACATCATCAACAGAGCTTTCATTAGGAATTAGAGCCTGGGATTCAGCACCACGGTGGCTATAGGCACAGATAGACAGAGTTCAAATTAAATCAATGTGCTAATATTCTAGGACCTTGGATTCTAAAGATACCTGCTTTCTAGTCATTTTCCTGTGTCAAATAGATGCATATCCCCATACAATATATAACTCTATTAAGTACACGCATATCTGACCTAAAATCTATACATTCAGATCAAAATATTTTTTCCCAAATTTCAATTTGATCAGAATGTAGAGGAGATTTAAGTACGGACTATGGAGATAGTTATAATATAAAAAAATAAATAAAGAAATTAATGCACAAATTAGCTCAAGCAACTCGGAGTACAAACGAACAGTCGCATAAAAACTAATAAAATAATTCATTGATGCATTTAAATATCTAATGACTTACTTCTAAGAGCTGATGTCTTACAGCATGCTGAGCCTGGCTGCCTTGACGAGTAAATCCACCCGCCGATATAGCACCTCCATTAGTAGGATTTTGACGTCGTGACCCGGCAATTGAGGCTCCGCCGACGCCTCCACTGATGGACGTTGAATTTGAAGATGAAAGAAGGCTGGCGGTGGGAAGTGATGCAGATGCAGGAGTGTTGGTTTGATTAGCCGCACTTGTCCCGGCAGCAGCGGCAGCCTGAAAAAGGTGGGCTACGTTCAAACCGGCTGCGGCCAGCATGGCCATTTGTTGGTTATGCTGCTGCAACTGCTGCTTGGCTTGCTGTTGTTGAAGCAATATATGTTGTTGCTGTTGCTGTTGTTGCTGATGGTGATGAAATAATTGTTGGGCCTGAGCTGCTTGTTGGGCTTGAAGATGAAGTAATGCAGCGCTAGCCTGAGCCTAGAAATAAAAAGTAAAAATAATGATAATAAAATAACTTTTTTTGAAAAATTATGCTATGCAATTATAACTTAAAAAAATAGCATAATTTTAGCTAAAAACTAATTGATTATTCAACTGGTTTTATTCACAGACAAATAGTATGCATTAATTCTATGCAAATAAAATGTGCCCAAAGTGAGAATCAAAGAGAAATAAGCATAATAATCAGGAATTAAAATTAATAATTATAAAGAAAAAAACTTATTGTTAAGAGTATAATGGCAAACTGTTGGCACACAAGAGACTAGGGTATGAGAAGTCATATACTTGGTATTATAGATAGAAACAGGATAGACGCATCGGCGATGGGAGCTAGTGCGCTGACAGTAGTTTTTATAATAGACGTGGTCCATGTGGCAAAGGCCTGACCATGACACTTACTCAGAGGCTTGTGCCTCGAATTAGTCACCCAGACGCAGGGTAGGGCTAATAACGCCTTAT